ATGAAATGAAAATGAGACCAATTGGACCAATCACCGCAGATTAGCGTCACGCAAAGGAGGGCTTTGGAAAAATGAATCGTTGAGCGAATCGCTTGGGAGTCGTTGAGCAAGTAAGGTAAAAATAAATGCATATTATAAGAAAATGAAAGTGTTTTTTGACCTTATATGCATGTCAACCTGTTGTTGGGGACTCCCAAACCCAAAGTATGAACCTTTCATTACCCATAATAGGGGCACTTTAAAAAATATTTCGGGCATCCAAGACCAAGTCCTGTCTAAATGAATGGTAGAATCCGGAAATCCCAAAAACTGCCTTATAATTTGAGTTGAATTACTGAAATACATGAACTTTTCCATGACATTCTAATTTATTGAGATGCACCTGTAGATGTCTGAAAGAGGCAACTGCAAAAAGAAATATAAAACAACTAATATTGAATAAGTCAGTTATTTCTGGAGCAAAAAAATATATAACAAACAAAACAAAACTGGCATGTCTATGGAACATCCACATTTAAATGCTAATAAAAAAGATTGTTTGGTACCTCAATAGCATGCTGAAATTGCTCATGTTCCCGCTGTAACTGTTCTGCCTCCTGTAGAGAGCTGGCTGTGATGAGACCTGCATTAAGCATTGACTCCCCGTTACGGATCCAACCCAGCACCTGAAACACACATTTTCGATCATCTATGTAAACATACTCTCATTTTTAGAAAGAAAAGTTCTTCACAGTAGGGGTGTCGCTGTATACCAGTATCGATGATAATCGTGATTTAAATAATGAAATATCGTTATTGTGTCAATTAGGGGTGTTGCAATATATCAGTAATAATATGATATTTAAAAGTGAACAACTACCACTAACTATCTGGCTGACATCCCAATGTAGGTGGAGGTATTGCACCTTAATGCTGTTTGACACTTGTCATAAAACAGAAAAGACACAGAGCGCAGCTACTACTGCCGAGCAAAAGAATGGCATCAGATAAAAAGTGAGCTCGCCAGTGTGAGACGTATTTGGATTCCGCGATAGTGGCTTGTTAATCACCTCAGTCTGCAGGACTTGCCAATCAACAGTGAGTGCAAAAGGGGGCAATACCACCAACCTGTTCACCCACTGCCACTGTACAGAAAGTAAGTACTGCCTTTTACACTAAATTGAAAAGCACTGTTTCATGAAAGTTGAGACATGTAAGCATATGGTGTGCTGTTAACTATTGGGTTGCATCAGTGGGGAAAGTGAACATATTTAATACTGACAGATGTGTTCTTTGACTCCACCTTCAGGTCTAAATTCCGCGCCGTCTCCTGACACACTGACTCACACTTTACACACCTGCTTTAGTGCTGATACACTGCCAGTCACAGATAACACAACTATGTTCCTTCCATAAATGTAAATAAACAGACTGAAAACTGCCACACACACACACACACACATTTTCACTATAAAACCAAATACATGATAACATGTTTACTAACCACCACACACCCACTCAAATACTCTGTGGCCGTGTCAGACCTTAAACCACACGGGCATCCCAGCTCCTCGACATCTCTAATCACTCTTTTCCTCTAGAGCAGTCCAGACAAAAATAAATACATAAATAATAAAATAAATTAATAAATGAGAGGATGAAATGAGATTACCAGCTGCTCCTCCTGGCCTAGTTTTTCCTTCTCATTTTAAGCGTGCCCAGGGCTATAAAACTGCTCTGTTTCCCATCAGCCCCTGTATGCAGTCAGAACCACTATTCAAAACTATTAACACTGCACTTCACTCAATATTAAAAAATAGTTAACAAACATTATATAATGCTTAACAGATCAGTAGTTAATAGTAATTTAGTATTTAAAATGCATATGTAATTATAAAAATCAAGCTTCTAGCTATTTGAATATTAACAAATTATATTTTGACCATAATGTAATGTAATAATGATTGTTAATGTAATTAATAAAGTTGCAATTAAAATAAATTAAGTTAAATTAAATTCAGGTGTCTACATTAGAGATAATCACCATGTTTATAACAAAGCTTTCATATTTGAATTTATGAGATTTACGAAATTTAAATGCATTTACCCTGGCTGTTGGGTAAAAGGACCTCTATGCCATCTCTAATCACATTTTTTTATGATTTTTAAACGAAACAAACTACTTTTATGATTCCTTTCCCCACAAAATGTGTTGTTCCATCAATGTTCAAAAAATATATATTTTTCTGACATCATACATTATGGAAGTACTGAAAAAAAAAACACACATTTTCCTTAAAGTGTGCCTTTAGCCCCATTGAACCCTACATGTATCATTGTTTGTGAAAGAAAGGCCACTGCCTAAAATATTATGATCTTAATTATCATTGTTTACTGGAGGAAGACAATCTATCAGTTACATCACAAAAAGCTACATTGTGTGACAATGTAATAAACCAAAGATATGCAACAAGGCGTCAGATGTATTAGTGTACTAGGTAATGTCTAATTTTCAACCTCAATTTGGCCTACATTCACTAACCATGAGTCACTGCTCAGGTACAGACAGAGGAAATTCCCACCTCTAAAATAAAATCTCTATTGCATAATTAATCATGACACTTATTAATATGGAGGTGTGTTAGAACACATCACACAGTGGTTGTTTTGTTCTTCGCTGACAAAGCTGTATCATGATCTGAAATATAAGTCCATGCTTACATGAGCATGTATGCATGTGCCTGAATGAGTTCTTGCATTGCTGGATGGGTAGACAGAGAGACAGACAGTCAGATGTTACCTGTTTGACCTCGGCCTGTAAGTGGCGGAGCTGCACGCACTGCTCCAGGTGTCTCCTGTGCTGCTCTGCGGCTGCGTCCAGCTCCTGCTGTTTCTCATGCAGGAAATCCAACAGGTCCTGCACCCGCGATAACAAAGAGTGAAAAATTTAAGGGGGTCTGAATACTTTCCGTACCCACTGTAAGTCCATGCTTACATGAGCATGTATGCATGTGCCTGAATGAGTTCTTGCATTGCTGGATGGGTAGACAGAGAGACAGACAGTCAGATGTTACCTGTTTGACCTCGGCCTGTAAGTGGCGGAGCTGCACGCACTGCTCCAGGTGTCTCCTGTGCTGCTCTGCGGCTGCGTCCAGCTCCTGCTGTTTCTCATGCAGGAAATCCAACAGGTCCTGCACCCGCGTCGCCATGTCAACATCACGGTCGCACAACAACTCCACACCTTGACAGAGAAAGAGAGACACAGCGAAACAGAGAAATGTAGAGGTGTAACAGAAGGGCGTAAATAATCTTCCCTGACACAAATAAATCAAGCTTTTGTCATAATCGACTTAGTGATTTGACAAGGGATTAATGACAAGAGATTTGGAGAACAGATGTTTATATTATATTAAATATTTACTTTTTTTGCACTGTGACATTATATTCATGACAATTAAGCATAAGTTCCTATTCAATTCTCATTACCATAATGCAAAAAACAAACCAGCAAACAAAACCACATTTTCATTACGGTAATATGACAAAAATAATTATATATATTATAAATTTGCAACACATTTACACACCATTGTAGCATTTGATGTATTTAAATTAAAATATATCATACATGTGTGTTTGTATATATATATATTATTTCCAGTGTTTTACCCTAAAAGTTTGACTTTAGATAAAAACATCTGACTTCAGAAATATTATTCACAAAAAATAAAATCCCAACTGGATGAACAAGAAACAGTATTGCATGCAAAGGCAGGATATGTTGGTAATCCATAAGAAGACTTTAGTACAAACACTTTATTCAGCCTGTGATTTTTGCCAAGACAGCAATTGGACAAGACAAAGACCCGATTAAAGAACACAGGGATTAGAGAGGCCACAATACCCATTAAAGGAGAGAAGCCGAGGATCACACATATTTGATTTATTTCTGAATATGATTTATAACTGAACTCTAATTAAATTATGGGATTTTCACAAAGAATCAGGTGAATTATCACCCTAATAATTTTTTTCTCCAATCCCAGCTTAAAAAGATAGTTTACCCATAAATGACAATTCTGTCATCATTTATTCACCCTCATGTTGTTCCAAACCTGTTTGATTTTCATTCTTCAGTGAAACACAAAAAGAAGAATTTTTGAAAAATGTTGGTGACAGGTTTTGCTTTCCATTGACTTCCACTGTATGGACAAAAAAAAAAAAAAAACTGATCAGTTCTGGTCACACTTTAGTTTGGGGATCAGTTCTCACTATTAACTAACTATGACTTTTGCCTCAATAAATTCCTAATTTGTTGCTTATTAATAGTTAGTAAGTTAGTTGTTAAAGGCAGGGTAGTTGATTTGGTTCAAAAACATTTTTTCGTTATGCTGGTTGAAAGTCTCTTCACATCCCGATAGCAATCACCAAGTTAAGTGGTCTAAATGTATTTATATGTATTAATATCGTCTGTGGAAGGCGTAGAACCATTAAATGTTTGTGCAATCATATCCCTCGGTCCAAGGGCTACTATAGGCTGTTCTACCTGACTGTCAACATATGCATTTGCATACCTCTGCGCATCCTGTTCACGTTATCAGCAAGTTCCATTACACTATTGCAGACCAAGCGAGAATGGAAGGCATTATTATTGTAATTTTATGCACTTTGTACTGTAATGATTTCTCACCGGTGAAAGAAATATGAGGTAATCTGACAGCATTGCATTCAACCCTCCACCAGTGCCGTCCTCTCATTTGCAGGGAGGGTGGGATCTTGCTTTCAAAGCTAACTTGCTATTGCTAGCCTCTCTGAAATCACCTACCCTACCTTTAAGTTTAGGTATGGGGTATGGTTAAGGGATCTAAAATATGTGCTTTATAAGTACTAATAAATAGCCAATATCCTAATACTATGCATGCTAACAAGCAACTAGTTAATAGTGAGAATCGGTCCCTAAACTACATTTTCTTTAGAATAATGTGCACTGATGAATCGTGTACAATGCAACCTGCAATATGCATGCAGAAAGTAAATGGGATCAATTTTGATTTCATACTGTCTTTAAAGTCAGAATCGCCAGAAGTAGCATGACTTTTGTTTAAATCAAGAAAAACTAAACCAACAATAAAAATTGATAACTGACCCATAGTTACATAGTTATACATAGTTAACACAAATAGCATGTACAGAAGTGCAGATACCTGGGTCTTAGCATTGTTAGCACACACATGTTATCACACACACAGACATACTCACATTTTATACCCGTAGCCCAGAGCTGCATTGGGCTAAAGCTCTGAGAGTACTCCAGTTTTGCATTTGTATCTGTGCCTCCACAAAAGGACGCTAGTAAAATGAGGACTCGTTTTGCTCTCTGCTATCTGTGCGTGCTGTCAGATGTCAAATCTTGTGTGTGTGTGTGTGTGACCAGTGATTTTGCTAGGCAGTGTGAGTCTACAGGATTACAGGGCCAGGTGGGAGGAAGGGAGGGCTGCTGGGTGCCTGGATGGACCTGATGTGTTTGGCTTTAGAGTTTAGCGTTTAGCTGCATCCACTCCTCCCCCCTTAAGCCTGCTCTGGACTGACACACTAACACACACGTGCACACACAAACACACACACATCTTTGATGCCTCATGACAGTGATCTCGTGACCCCAAAAGTTGGCTTTCAAAAACATCATACAAAAACATGCACTCTGTTTCTCTGCAGCTTGTGCACAGATCTGAAATGCATTATCAGCTCACAAGAAAACATTTACGCGTGTTATGGATCAGATATCTTGATTTAGTGACATACTGCTTGTGTGTGCATGTTGGATAGAATACACAGTCACCTGACAAACTGTAACTACTGCAAGTGGACTTTTGTGAGTGCACCCTTACAAAAAAGTACTGTGGCGGTACTACAAAACATTGACACTATCAAAGTGCAGTTACATTCACTGTGTTCTGTGAACTTTCAGCAGCAAAATCCAGTCATTTTAATAGGAATCCAAGCAATCGGGAATTTCATGTGAGGGTAAAAAAAAAATTCCCCATGCAAATTTTGTGATGGGCTCAGTTGGTCATGCAAGTTCGTTGCATTGACCAATAGAAAGCTACTTGTTTTGAAAGTGACTTCTATGTTAGATGTACTTCATATATCTAAACTATTGACAATTTTTTAGTAATTTTGTTATGTGGTTTTTCATTTTTATTTCTTTTTCAATTTAATTTTAAATATGAATATTTAGCTTTAATTTCTTTTTCTTTAATTTCTTTTTTTTTTCAGCTGTATTTCAATTAACAAAAATTTTTTGAATATTTTTAGATAACGATATTGAACCTGCTTCTGACTGCATACCATATACACATTTAATATATACCATTTATTACCATATTAATGTAGCACAGAATTTATGGTAGAACAAGGCATTTCAGAAAATACCATAGTACTACATACATGTATGCCCAAATAAACTAAGATATTACTATGTTTTAAATAAATAAATAAATACCATTGAACTCTGCCAAAACGTAAAAATATTTCTGTCATGACAACTCTCGGAGGGATTGGCATGGTAATGTACATGACAATGTTAATGTATTTGGTCTTGGCGGAACAGATCTGCTGCTGCGGCAGAGCAAGTACCGAGACTTGCTACTGCCAATACATCCACAACATGCTGCTGTAAGCATGTAAGAAATATTGCTGCTGCAAATATAACATACATGAAATAACCCCCATATAGCATACAATCACCTCGTAGCAGATCTATACAGGTGGAGCTGGGGAAGGTGGAGGGTTCCTGAAGTGCGCTGCCAACTGCTACAGCAAACAAAAGCCAGGTATTTGAATATTGAGCAGTAACAGGCAACACTAATCATATATATGAATGTTGAGCAGCGAGCTCATTGGCTACCGATACAGGAGAGAACCAATCAGCTGTGCCATGTGATGATGTCATTAGGTCAGATTGAGTTAGACTTAACGGACTGCGCCATCTAGAGTTTCATGCCAGAACTCTGTATATTGGTACATTCTGGTACTTTTTTGTTAGTGCATGTACAGCTTTAAATTTCAATACAGTGACTTTTAGCAGAACCTCTTATCATTGTATATAAGTGTTTGGATCTGTGCTCACCTGAGGCCTGAACTTCTGTGACGTACTGCAGGAGTTCCTGTCCCTGGTGTATGACGTGGAAGGTGAGGTTGTTCATGGTGAGAGCTTTATCGGCATGATGCTGCAGTCTCTGCTCAGCTAGCGTCAGATCCTCAGTGTCAAACTCATTCATCTGCTGGGACAGCTCCTCATTCCATGACTCCAGATCTGAGATGACCTACACAACACATCCACACAAACAACACCATAAGAAGGCATGTATCACTGACCATATCTACAGTAAATGAGTGAACAGGTTTTTAAATTGATTTTATTAGTCTGAAAATGCAAATATTGGATACAGTAGTTAATTTAATACTTTAAAAATATATATAAAATATTTTATTCAAAATAAAGAATATTGTATTATAGCAGTCATTAGAGTATTAGTAGACTGTCTGCTTAATATCTACTAACACTTCATTTTGTTGCTCCCCCAAAAACATTCTACTGACTATAAGTAACTCTGCAAGTACATGTCAACTTATTCTACTAACCCTAAAATAAGTCTACTAATACTCTAATGAGAGTTAGTTGGCAGGTAGTTGCAAAGTACTAAGAGTTAATTGACATGTAGTTGCAGTTAGTAGAAAGTCAAAAGTGGACATAAAATAAATTGTAATCTTTTTTTGTGTGTGTAAATTGTCTTCACAAGGTCACTAATGCATATATAAAAGCACTTTCATGTCAAACTTAAATTAAAATTGACTGAAATACCAAAGTCCGCCAACATTACTGGTATTATTTATTATCTCCATTCCAAATGCAATGACAGTCTTGTCAACAAATAATAAACATTTTCGGTCACACTATTTTAAAATCCAATTTTCGCTATTAACAAACCATTAACTACAACTTTTGGTCTGCTTAATATCTACTAACACTTCATTTTGTTGCTCCCCCAAAAACATTCTACTGACTATAAGTAACTCTGCAAGTACATGTCAACTTATTCTACTAACCCTAATATAAGTCTACTAATACTCTAATGAGAGTTAGTTGGCAGGTAGTTGCAAAGTACTAAGAGTTAATTGACATGTAGTTGCAGTTAGTAGAAAGTCAAAAGTGGACATAAAATAAATTGTAATCTTTTTTTGTGTGTGTAAATTGTCTTCACAAGGTCACTAATGCATATATAAAAGCACTTTCATGTCAAACTTAAATTAAAATTGACTGAAATACCAAAGTCCGCCAACATTACTGGTATTATTTATTATCTCCATTCCAAATGCAATGACAGTCTTGTCAACAAATAATAAACATTTTCGGTCACACTTTATTTTAAAGTCCAATTTTCGCTATTAACAAACCATTAACTACAACTTTTGCCTCAATAAACTCCTACTTTGCTGCTTATTAATAGTTAGTAAGGTATTGTTAAGTTTAGGTATGGGGTAATAAACAGCCAATATGGGTAACACTTTAGAATAGGGGTCCAGAATAATGCATTAGTTAAGCATTAATTAATGGTTAACTTGTTCACAATTAAGCATTAGTTGAGCACAAACACACTAGTAATTAATGATTAACTTACCATTTAGGGAGCTCAGATTTGCTTAACTAATGCATAATCTGAGCTCCCTAAATGGTAAGTTAATCATTAATTACTAGTGTGTTTGTGCTCAACTAATGCTTAATTGTGAACAAGTTAACCATTAATTAATGCTTAACTAATGCATTATTCTGGACCCCTATTCTAAAGTGTTACCAAAAACGGAATAAAAAAATAAACAATACTAATAAAATAAATAAATAAAAAATAAAGTTTTTTTTTTGTCTCAACTGTCATCATTAACTTTGGCCAGTCTGCTCTCTAGGTATCACCATTAGCCATTAAAAACAAATATTAGTAGACTATTGGAAATTTATATTCACAGAATTAATGTCAAGAGAAAGTAAACAACTTAATACGGTGTAAAGAGTTGCCTTGACAACAGGTGGGTAAAAGAAGGAAAAACATGAATCAGAGAACAAGCACTTTGCAAGAAGTTCACTTCAGCCAGTTCTAACATCACACCACATAGAGCATCTAATCAAAACTTTACACAGCAGCTCAATAAATTATTCCCCAATAACACTACAGAAGACAAAAAACAGTGCTGTAGTTTTAAAAACATGACATTGTCATTGATATAGCGATCGGTAAAGTTTAAAGTCATGATTTGAACAAATAATCCTCCCGTCAAAAGCCTAAAGCACTCACTTTGCACTGCTGTGTGGTTGACAATTCCTCCTTCTCTAATGAATATGAGCATTTCCCCAGCTGTTCTGAGTGAAGCGCTGATAAGGACAGTTGGTGATGACTAGAACGGGAACCCAAGCGTTTTCTGTAAGAAGTAAATGTGTTCTTCAGTGTGTGGGAGCAGCGTTTGGGAAATCACACGCCCACTGCTGTACCTTCTGGCACCCTGCCGCCTTGACTGACAGTGCCGACCCGCCCTGCGCTGAGTAACTACTCACAAATACCTCACATCCGATGTAAGGAGTTCACCTACAATCGTCACCCATACTGGAAGTTATACATGTGTACGGTTTTCAGGTTGTTCTTTCAGGTTTGCTCTGTCTATGCAAGGTCTTCTCAGTTTTACCTTTTCTACCAGCAAAGTATCAGTGGAATGTGAGCGCCTTCAAAACTCCCCATGGAATGTGATACTCCTAGATCTGTATTGAATTCTGTTACAGAGATCGGTATCACTTTTACTACAAAAGCCAGTTCGTTTTGTGGACTCTGATTACTTCATATAGGGTTTCCTACAAACAAAACATTTAAAACACAGCCACCAAAAAGTCAATCGCAAAGCATGATGGGCTTTCTGCAGGTTAAGCTAATAATGGCAGATGAGCAGAAGAAGGGCATCTCATTTAACGTCAACATGAAACTGTCTATAACTACTGTATTATGTTTCTGAACTTCTTGTACATGACTGTTCAGTAGAGGTCGACCAATTGATCGGTTTTGATGTTAACACTTTACAATAAGAGTGCATTTGAAACAAAACTTCAAGCTGAAGTATTGTTCCTTGTTAAAGTGTGTTAATTTCAACATTTACTAATATATTTTTCAAATTTAAAGTTGCTTCTGTTAACATTAGTTTATGAACTAAATTTAATTATCAATATATAATTAGTAATTTATATTAATATTTTTATTCATTTACAAAGTTGTCACGTCATTCATTTTGGACTTTGTTTTCCTCATATATTTCATTGAGTTTACAGTCAAACCAAAAATTATTCAGAGACCAGATATATTTTTTGATATTTTTTTTTATTAGTGGGTGCAGGACACTATAGTTCATTTATGTAAGTGAGGAAAGCAAAATAAAGCAACCTGTGACATATTATACCCCAACATTCCTCATACAGTGGACTACCAGTAAAATTGATAAAAATTTGGGACCAAAAATTATTCAGACACTTTGACCTGACCCTGTTTTGCTTAAGTGTTATCTGACATTATCAAGATGAATTTGTTCTGACACAGTTTAACTCTTGTCATATTTTATTACCATTTTCTAAACTATAGCGAAAACACTGTGATAATGTGTGAAATGTTGAAGGTGTCTGAATAAATTTTGGTTTGACTGTAATTGTGTCATTCTGTTCAGGTGTATGTAGTTAATTATCCTTGTTTGGTCTGTGTATTCAAGTTCCTGTGTGTTCAGTTCTAGTTTGTCTGGACGCGTCTGCGTTTATACTACCCTGTGTGTTGGATTACCTGTGAGTTGGATTAAAGACTTTATAAACCTTCTTCTTCATCTTTGTGCGTTTAATACAGCGTAGCTGTGACAAAAGTATGTTTGAGTACTTTTTTCTGGTTAAATAGTAAAGCACTATTTTAGTTTTCGTTCAGTATTCATTTTAAAAACTATCGGTTGATTAATCGTTAGCAACCAGTGTGGTCCATCCTAACTATCAGTATCGGTTGACCTCTACTGTTCAGTGCATGTTATTCCACAGAAGAAAGTTTTTTTTGTTGTTTTTTTTTGTCTTTTGTAACCATTCATCACATTGTAATAACTTTGTTCCACTTTGCTCAACAACTTCTATTTTGGGTGACATCATCTAGGCCGGGACACCTGACCATTACACCAAAAAGGACTTTATTGCTGTTGCATTTCTAAATTCATAGACATTAATATGGAGTTGGTCCCTCCATTGCAGCTATAACAGCTTCCACTCTTCTGGGAGGGTTTTTGGAGTGTTTCTGTTGGAATTGTTGCCCATTTATCCAGCAGAGTATTTGTGATGTCAAGCACTGATGCTGAACAAGAAGGCCTGGTTCGCCATCTCCGTTCCAATGTATCTCATAGGTGTTCGATGGGGTTGAGGTCAGGGCTCTGTGTGGGGAAGTCAAGTTCTTCCAAACCAAACTCATCTAACTACTAGGGCTGGGTTTTGACACAAATTTCACGATTCGATTCGATTCGATTCGATTCTCATTCACAAGCTTGCGATTCGATTCGATTCAATATTGATTATTTTGGATATATATCTGGTACACATGCAAAATTTTCTCAAGGAAAAAAAAATCTCTTAACTAATGCTGTAAAATATACATGAGAGTCAGTAGGTACTACATTACTATAACATTGAAGGTTAAACTGACTGATTTTTTAGGCTATGTCATACAACTGCTTTAATTACACTTAATGAAGTTTTTATAATAAAAGTTACAATTACATAATAATATTTCTACTTCAATAGTTTTTTTTAAATATAAACATTTAAATGTTTGTCATATAAAATGGCTGTCATAAAAAAAATATAAATTAAACATTGAAGAACAGTAAAATGTATAATGAATATATTATATGGTGCATATATTTAGCAAAATGCTCCTCTCTACTGTTTATTTTTCTAGCCGACTAATGAGGTTATGATCACCAATTATATGTTTTTTTTAGGTAAATGTGACGTTACGTGATATTGTTTACAAGCCGTTATATTGACATCTTTGCACGGCTGAAACACTGATTGAGCGAATACATGAGCCAGGATATGGATTGTAAACTTGTACTCTTTCTTTTAACTTACCTTCGGATGTTTAGTCATGTTTATTTTGTGCTGAAATTGGTATTAATGTGGAGGAGATGATCAGTTCACGTGCGCCTCGCGCTACCGCTTTTATTGAACCGAGACGCGCCGCGCTACAGCGATCACTCCACATTAAACAGCGTCAAAACGGTATTTATTGTTTGAATACTGCAATACAATGAACATAATTTGAAATCTGAGACTTTGTTTCATATTAAAAGTACCAAAGCACAATGCTTATTGTGATTTATTGAATGGGAGGTGCCCTTAAATGTTCCACCCATTAACTGAAAACAGGCTAGACTAATCGATTCTTGGGAATTAAGAATCGACATTGTTTCATTAAAATGAGAATCGATTATAATCGAGATATCACTATTTTTTTACCCAGCCCTACTAACTACCGTATGTCTTTATAGACCTTGCTTTGTGCACTGGGACATGGTCATGCCGGAATAAAAACAGGCCTTCCCCAAAGCGTTGCCACAATCTCACAAACATAGCATCGTCCAAAATGTTTTGGTATTCTAAAGCATTAAGATTTCCCTTCACTGGAAGCAAGGGGCCTAGCCCAACCCCTGAAGAAAAGTCCCATACCATTGTCCCTCATGCATAATGCAGTCATGCAGGTAATGTTCTCCTGGCATCCGCCAAATGCAGACTCACCAATCAGACTCCCAAACAGAGAAGTGTGATTCGTCACTCCACAGAACACATTTCCACCGCTCCAGAGTCCAGTGGCAGCGTTCTTTACACCACTCTATCTGACGCTTGGCATTGTACTTGGTGATGTGAGGCTTGCATGTAGCCGCTCGGCCATGGAAATCCATTTCATGAAGGTTTTGCCACTCAGTTTTTGTGCTGATATTAATGCCAGTGGAAGTGTGGAACTCTTCAGCTATGGAATCGATAGAGTGTTGGTGACTCGGTGCACCCACTCTGTGACTTTACATGGTCTTCCGTTTCGTGCATGAGTTTCTGCTGTTCCTAAATGCTTCTACATTCCTATAATACCACTTACAGTTGACCGTGGAATATCTAGCAAGGATGAAATTTCACATACTGCAAAGGTGGCAAACCTTGAGCCTTTGGTGACATTACAAAAAAAATTAAATAGGTTGTTTCATGTTGACTGTAAGAGCTTTGATACAGAGAAACCTTGAAAGTGATACTGATTCGATAAAGCTGTTAGTTTCTCAAACACCCTTTTGACAAAAGTGTGAGCCATTTTCACACGTCCAGAGACACAATCCACAATGACTCATAGTGCAGGCTGTGAAAAGAGCATCCATGATGGCTTTATGCTTGCTCAAGGCTTCCGCTCAGAATCTCTGAGATCAATGGATTTTGTCTTTAGCACTTTGTTCCATTGATCAGATCAAAACCGCCGAGAAAGATAGAAGCAACAACACGTGGTATAGCCTTCTACCTCACAACTGACGCAGAACTGAAACTTCAAACTCATGTAATCATGGGGGACTACCTGATGGCTATGAGAAAAAAATATATATCTGAGAGCAAGATTGTAATTTACAAACAAATAGGTTTCTAAAATCAAATATTGAAATTTGTTAATATAATCATGAACTGCACTGGCTGAGCAGCATGCAAAATGATTAAACACAACACAGGCTAATTAGAAAAACAACTATTTTGGTTTGAAAATATCACTTCTACGAATTGCACAAAAATAGAAAGCTGTATGAGTTGCATATATAAATGTAGAGCTGTGATTGTAAAATGTTGCTCAGCTACCAAATCTGACCTCAGAAGACTACAGAGGGTAGTCCGGACTGCTGAGCGAATCATTGGTACAACCCTCCCTTTCGTGAATGCAGCCAGAATACTGTACATGCAGCCAGTGGGAAGGCATCTCTATCAGTGTGTGTTCTCATAGCAACAGTCTCGTTACAATTTAGTCTATCTAGTAACTTAACTGAGACTATTTTGAAATCCTCTGCTCACCTTCATAATTATTATTACTATTTATTTATTTATTTTATTTGCCATTTTAGCTAGCTAAATATTACACCCATGTACACAAAAAAACGGTGGTTGAGGAGATTCCCCCGCTTTCATGTAAAGCGCTTTGAGTACCCAGAGAAGCGCTATAAAAATGTAACAAATTATTAATTATTATTATTATGTTTATATTAAATCTAAATGTATACCATATTTATTTCCCTATTAATATATTTCAGCGTTTGGAATGCTGATCAGCTAATTTTGATATGAGCTTCAACTATTCATTTAGACTCAAGTCATCTGAAAGGGCCCAAGAATGATGATTAAAAAAAGCCCCCTGACTTCCTAGCACAATCGAGAACCACTTGTCTTGAGTGTTAGAATCCATTGTTTACAACAAAATCAGTGGGTTATTATTTGGGAATAAACTGTCAGACATGTCATAAATTGTGGACTCACATCAATGGCATCTCGTTCAAAGATCCTGAGCTGGAGAAAGAGCTCTAGTTTGATCTTCCGTTCCTGAAACAGTTCCTCCATCTGAGCCTGGGCCTCATCCAGCTGCTGCAGGACACTCTCGATGTGAGCCATTGAGCTGTTATGAGGAGTCTTATTGCTGGAGATCGCAGAGTCCCTGCAGTCAGAAAAAAAGAGTGTGTACGAGTTAGTATCTAGTTAGTCTCTGCAGATTAGGACATGAGTCAGTTAAGTGTATGAGTGTGTTACTGTGCATTCGGGGTATGTTGTTGCAGCTCTGTGTTCTCATATCTTTTTAACATATGTGTTTGTAAAGACAGAAGTCTAACTTGTTTTTAACCAAGTCTATGTGCGCATGTGTGTATACAATTTGGATGTGATCAATCTATCTTCTACATTTGCTGGGGAATTGGGAAATGGAAATGTTGACTGCTCGACTGTTTAAAAAATGTAGATTATTATCGCACAGCCCTATAAATGAAGTTGGACAGACAAGTTCATTTTATTTGCATACATAGAGTATACTCACACAAAGAAATATATACTATATACTGTAGCAAATCTCAACTGCTTGATTGTTTATATCATTTAATCATATTATCTGCATATCTGCAAAATGCGATTATAAGGCATTAAGATATAATGATATTATAAACATTAACATCATAATTTTTGGTAAAGCAGCTAAAATGTGAATTGACATTGAAATGTGTATTGTGAAAGTGCTTTACACATAAAATTGACTTGACTTGGTTTAAACAGAAAAACTCCACATGAAACATTGCAATATCAACAGTGATTGAAGATATACAACTGTAGATATAGAACGGAACGGTTTTCGGTCGCCATTAAGCCACTAGTTTCATAAAATGACTAAATAATCTTTAAAAAAAAAAAGTGCAAAAAGTGTCTGTAGGGTTAGGCTTTAGCAATTGTAATTAATACATCAGACATCAATGGGATACTAAGCCGATGTTTTCTCATTGGGCAGTACCTGAGCTGCTGGATGAGATCCTCCCCTTCTTTAATGACGTTGACGGTGACCTGCAGGGTGGTTTGCTGCTGCTGACCGAAACGTTTGATCAGCTCCTGCACGGCCTCCACTGACTCAGCATAAACATCATCCAGCAACTCCTTCTGAAGCTCCTCCAACCATGTCCACAGCTGCAGAGGAATAACAGCATTACCAGCCAATCAGAAACTTCACAATGGTGTGAACCAGTCAGTGAACTATGTAGATCCATGGGTCTCCAAACAAATAACATTTGTTCTATAATTTAAAATATCCAAATGCATGAACACGTTGGCTGCCACCGAACGGCTGGTGTTGTTATTTCCTGTGAATGGCTTTATCTTGTGAGAGCTCAGGATTAGCCATCTGCCTGTGTTGGCATGTCAAAGAGTGTATCTCCTGCCACAGCAGGCCATGCCCTGTCCTTCCACACCTCCCCATTGTCTTTTTCCATCTCCACCTTCCTCTTTTTCCAAAACTCCAGCCTTTAACCCTTTATCATTCCTTATATCATTATAAAACACACTCTCAGAAACAAAGATGTCTATATAAGCCAGCCCGCTACAGATAGCAGATGGCTAACATTATGCCATATGGAGACGTTAAAGAGAGCGTTGTTTGCTTGTATTAAGTATATGATGAATCATGTACATACTACTACTCATTATCATTCACCGTTTGTGGAATATAGAAGGGCCAGAAGGAAAGAGTTCTGAATTTATAAGCAGACAAATTGTAAAGATTTGAGGTTCAAAAAAAGCTAACCACTAGGTTGGCTTTAGAGCAAATTATTGTATAAACATTAACTTTGTATTATAACCTCTAATTGGAATTACGTGAAAATGATGCATCACTTGTGTCCATGCATCAAAAAAGTGCCAAAGCTGCAGAACTTATAGGAATGTCATTTACATAATATAAACAGTGATCCGTTGACTAGTTGACTAGCTGATTAGTAAAAATGTGTCGTGCAAGACCTACAGAGAAATGTTACAGCACACTTAACAAAATGGTGCAGAATCAATGGAACACTGGGAACCAGCTACTGCTATATTGTAAATCTATTAAAGTGCCCCTATTATGGATTTTTGAAAATTACCATTCATGCAGTGTGTAACACAGTGAATGAAAGCATCCTGCAAAGTTTTAAATCTGAATGCGCACCGTGTATAAAGTTATTGTCTCTCAAAAGAAAGAATCGACTCTGAATCATTGAAACGAGTCGTTTTTAAAAGAATCCCAAGCCGTTTCATGTTGAAGTCAATATGAAATATTAGCATATTGCCCGCCCACTTATTGGTCTTTCTCATTGGTCTGAATGAAAATGCACATTCGTTCTTTGCCAATAGGTGCCGCTTTTGGAGCAGTAAAAATACCGTTTTCCCCGGTAACCAGGGGTGTGAAGTAACGAATTACAAATACTCACGTTACAGTAATTAAGTCGTTTTTATCAGTAATTGTACTTTTTTGAGTAGTTTAAAATTGTGTACTTTTACTTTTACTTGAGTACATTTTAAGTGATGTAACGGTACTTTTACTCCGCTATTTTCCTCCATTTGTGGTCGTTACATGCTTATAAATTAAAACTGCTGGATGAAAGATATTCTTCATTCTTTATGACAAACAAGATAATGTGAATTACAGATTGTACAACGTTTTTAAAATGTATCAATTGCGGTGTACAGTGTTTATTATGATGGGGTAGAATCCACAGCTCAGTACTCACTGCTCAATACTCATGAGTACTTTTAAATAGGCTACTCTTTTACTCTTACTCAAGTAGTTTTTTCGGACAAGTACTTTTACTCTACTCGCACTACATTTTTTGGAAGGTAATGGTACTTTTACTTGAGTATATTTTTTCAGTACTCTTTCCACCACTGCCGGTAACGCTGTAAACAAAGCAGCACTGCGCTCACAACGCTGCTTTATCAGGCATTACAGGCATGATGAAAGGGAAATGAGACCAATCGGACAAATCACCGCAGATTAGCGTCATGCAAAGGAGGGTTTTGGAAAAATGAATCGTTAAACGAATCGTTCGGGAGTCGTTGAGCAAGTAAGGTAAAAATAAATGCATATTATATGACAATGAAAGTGTTTTTTGACCTTGCATGCATGTCAACCTGTTGTTGGGGACTCACAAAACCAAAATATGAGCCTTTCATAACCCATAATAGGGGCACTTTAATAAATTAATTAATAATAATAATAATAATAATAATAATAACCATAATAAATCCAAGTACATTTTCAGAAATTGTGTGTGTACTGTACCTGTTACATAATATTCATAATTATGTCATCATCTCTATACTTTCATCTCTGAAAGTGAAGACCAAAAAAATTATAGACTGTGTGTGTAACTGTTACATCATATTCGAGAACACATTTATGTCAAGTAGAACACATGTAAACACTAGCAAACCCAGACATATCCACACCCACTATTACTCTCTCATAACTTACCTCTTTGCTGTGAGTGTGGAAGGCCACAGACATGTCGAGCAGGACTTTGCGTTGTTCAACGCGTCTTACGAAGTCCTGGATACGATCTTCCAGCTGGTGTGCGGCCTGGTAGATCTCCTCAGGGTCACACTCGCCTGTCTGAGCCAGCTGCTCTGCCGCCTCCAGGAGTTTGTCTGCATTCGTGTAGGTGTTCTGAGAAACATGCAGAAGTTTGGAAGTTAATATGCATTTGACTCATTTCTGAGATGGCTGGCCAAGTTTTGATTATGGGAGGAGAACAGTAGATATTCAGATGGAAAATAGCCAAAGTGATGATCTAACATCCATTTCTCCTTACCTGAGCCACTTCTTCAAAGTCCTCATGACGTTTCTGTAATGCTCGAGCCCGGTGCAGAGACTTCCCCACTCCTGTGTGCTTACTAAGGAATGCCTCACCATGGTTTTCAATCCAATCTAGAACCTGTGTGAGAAGATATTCACAAAGAGGAAAATAAACAAACGTTGCTCAGAGGGTCAAAATAACCACCAAATCACTATAAAAGAACCATAAAAGTTGTCCATATAATTGGAATAGAGCCCGCATTCCATATGGGATACTTTTATGGTTTTTGTCCTTTTCGTATGTGGAGATTCTTTAAAAACGATTTTTGTGCTCAACTGGGGGGAGGACTTTGACTCTAAATGGGAGTGAGAAGACATTCACAGAGAAAAATAACCAAATGTTGCTGAGAGGGTCAAAAGAACCACCACCCACATTATAAAAAGTAATCATAAATGAGAGGGAATAAATGAGGGAAATGTTTTTTCCCGGTTTTTCTTTTTTTTTTTCAGGTTTTATGCAACTGTTGGAACTTTGCCAATCAATTTCCACATTTTTTCAATTGCTTGTCGATGGGAGTGGGATTTTTCCAGGTTTTCCATGAGTGTAGGAACCCTGTAAATGTTCTGTCAATCTCGAGCAGAATGAGTATTTTAGAGCAGAGTAAAAGCCTTTCTGAAACGCGTCGATTTTTACAAAGCTCATCGGTCTGAAAAGCGAGGTGTGCTCTGATTGGCCAGCTTATCCAGCTACTCCGCTTCGTACACGGTGAAAGCCGATCCAGCGATCCACAGTGCGAAGTTGATGTATTTCCTCAGCGACCAGCACGGATCAGCTCTAGGCATGACGAATCGGATATCGTCCTCTTTTGGAAGGCCAAACAAAGTAGTTTCGCTTTCACAACGAAACACAGCGTCTTCACGACATGGTGGCAGCAACAATACTACAGAGAATAAAAGTTACGCCTTCTTTCATTGCGTGAACATTTGGGGGGCGTTATGCAAATCTTCCCACATCGTGATGTAGACATGTGGGGGCGTGTTAGAACGAGCCGTTTTAGGTAGGCGTGGTTGACTCAACTTTTATAAAGAATATCTCTTTGGATTTGAGACTTTAGTCTTTGCAACTTTACAGATCTTCTTTATGCACCAAGAGCTTGTATCACTTCAAAGAGAAAGGAAAAATTGAAATCGCATCATATGACCCCTTTAACTGTAGGGGTTTTGTAAGGGTTTCTGTAACTGGTAGAGCATGGTGCTAGCTACACAAACATCATGGGTTCGGTTCCAGGGAATACACAATATTATAAAACATACAAAAACAACAATATAATAATAATAGTAATAATAATAAAAGTATACTTTAAATGTACTGTATGATGCTTTGGCTAAACGCATCTATCTGATTCATGTAAAAGAGTTCCAATGCAATTCCAGTGTAAAACCACCAGGGGGCACCTCCAAGCAGCAGGAGTCACTGCGACAGCTAGACACCACTATAAACATCAGCACTGAGCACGCAATGAGGTCATCCTGCAGATTAAGGGAGCAAGACTCTGGTGTCTGCTCTGATGGTGTTGTCGGAGTACAATAATTGTGTTTATTAATGGAAATTTAACAAAGAGTAGTAGCTGTTGTTTCTCACAGGTTTGCATGAACGTCTGAATACACATGCAGTATTTTACTAATAAAAACGTATTAGAAATGGTTGATTAAGTGAGTAGTAAATGTTTGATTAACCATTTGAAATCTGCAAGGTGGAGCTGCTAAGCCAGATGTCTCGTATCCGAGTTTGAAAGCTTTCTACCTGCCTCAAAAGACACCGGAGCACACTGCGAAAACACATTGAGTCCTCTACTCATGCATATTTCATTATGCCACCTTTGATCTGGCTGAATGTGCCACACACAGAAACATTCAGAGCTGTTTGTGTGGTGGCATCTGTCAGCACATGTGTGTGCGCGTGTGAATAGAAGCAATCATTTGTTGTGCAGATGTTGAGTCTCCTGCTCACGTGGCTGTTTTCTGATGTCTGGAAGGTTTAGAGGTCCCCAATGCCTGCATCATTTTATGGGGCAAACCCTCAACATAATGAGGCTGCTGAACACAGTTACCATGACAACTGATACTGAATGCTTTTCTGCGAGAAAAATACTAAGTAAAAAAAAAAAAGTAGGAACATAGTGTGGGACAGACCGTGTGTGAGAGAGAGTGAAAGAGACATGTTTGGATGTTGTTTTGAAAAAGATGACAGCATTTTTATTTTTTGGGTTAACTACTCCTTTAAAAAAAATTTACTTGAAAAAGAAAAATGCAAATATTTCTTCCAAAAAATAAAGAAAGAAAAAAATAAAAAATAAAAAACATTCCTGTCAACAATTGCACGTTTACAATTTAATGCAGTGGTGCCTAAAATCTCATTTTTAAATTTATATTTGTTCTTAACTGAGCAGTGAAATCCTACTTTAAACAGAACTCACTTTATATTCAACATAACGATGCCTCACAGGCATTCAGATGCTGCCATTTCATTCAGACAAAGAGAAGAGATTCGACCAGATTCACCTCATTTACGAGCAGGACTCATTTTAGTGTCACACTGTTATATGCATATTCATAAATCAAACTCATTAATCATTTTGTGTTTTGCCACATCAATTTATATTTAGAATGTTTTTTTGTTTTTTGTGGAAAATTCAGAATTGCCATCACAGGAATAAATTAAATTTTAAAATGCAACTCTCCAACTGCCTCTGGTGATGCAGAACCTCATGAATGATATCCAGAACATGGTGCACCGCCTTGGAGTAGTTAGCCGAGGATGTCAGCGAATCTGCACTCCCTGGGGTCAAAGGCCGTTGTAGCTTATCTAGTAGGGCTTTGCCATCCTGACTTACCTGAGGATGTACAGATAATACACAACACCCAAAGATGTTACTTGCAGAAAAAAATCCCACCTTCATTTGAAAATCCAGTTCAGTCGTGAAACTCTACATGTTCCTTTACATGCAATATGCTAGCAATCACATCTACACAGCACAAGGTGACTGGCCTCTGCTCTGCAGCCAATGAGCTTGCTTGCTCACCATTTAAATAGTCTGGTTCAGTGTTCACTGTAAGTTGGTCCTGCAGCGCACCATCAGAGTTCCCCTGAAACCCTCCACCTCCCCCAGCTCCACTTGTCTAGATCTGCTATGGCATTTATATGTGTCTACCCATGCAGCAGCAGCAGCAGCGTATCTTACAAGCTCACAGCAACATGTCTGTGTATAGCAAATCCATATTTGACTTGCAGCAGCAGCGGTGTGCATAGCAGATCTAGTCCGCCAAGACCAACTACATTAGCATCATCATATTGAAGAAAAACTATTCCAAGAGTTGTCATGACTGAATATTTTTTCTTAGTTCTTGCTCAGCTTAGAGGTATCCTGAATTTAGTCTTTAAGGTGAAACTATTCACAAACACTAGTAAATGTTTTTAGTGCAGAGCATTGTTTTTACTTTAATGGACACAAGAGATTTGTACCTCAGAATAGGCAGTGGTTATGTGTTCATAGAGACCCTGGTGGTGGTGGATGGTGTCTTCCAGGTCCTGTAGCTCAGAAGGAAGTTCTCCCTCTCCACAGGCCTTACACCATGAGTCCATGTTGCTCATATACTAGAAAAAGACAAGAATATTCAGTAATTGGTTGTCAAACCAGCCACATACTAGGCTTGCCGCGATAGACGGTGTTGACGGTTATACCGGTGTTAAGCCGCAACACCGGTTGCGTCACTTGCCCACTAAGTTATTTGTTATTTTATATTAGGCATAGCCTGCCCTATAGCATGGTGTATTTTTATTTGTTTTGTTAATAAAAGTTCTATGTTTTATATATAGGCTAAAGTGAGTTTGACGTTGTATTTTTTATGTTGCATTCAAGCAATTGACTCCGAACTGCCGTTAATTCAAAAGTGAAAGTAAAATGCGCACGGCGCTTTTAAGCTATTTAAAAGCGAAGGAAAGCAAGGAAAAGAGGGAAAATTCAAACTAACTAAAAACAAACAATTGCTTTACTCCGAATTGCAGCTATTTTAAAGTGAAAGTAAAATGGGCACACCGCTTTTACAAGCTATTTAAAAGCGAAGGAAAGCGAAGAAAAGAGGGAATGCTCCGCCCCCGCGGTGATACCGGTATTACCACACGCCGATTAACCGGTGGGAAAATTTCCTCACCGACACAACCCTACCACATACACATCTGCGATCTGTTACTACATACTGGAATGATTATACAATAAGTCAAGAATATGAACCAAGTCTCAACATAGCAATTGTTGTTAGGAGGCTAACTTTGGGCCATCCACCACTGAGTGTTTCTTAACAGTGTCTTGTTTAGGAAAAGAATAAATACATTGCAATTTGTCTGTACAAATAAAAACTATTTTTGCCCTGTCTCATTGAGAGCAAAATAAACTAAATGAACAGCATGTCGGTCTATTATTGATGCCGACAACATATATTAAATGCTCAAAGAGAAAGATAAAGGACCGAAAGATGAAAGGAACAGATTTCATTTATCCTTTTTCCAGCACAGGCCTATCTACATCAAGCATTCAACTAAAGAGTCTCTGAACAATCATTGATGATTCACTTATAAAACAAGTAATAAACATCCAAGATTTTACACTGGAAGAAAAAAAAAAACACAAACATAGTTTAGTCTGCCTGTGTATATAGGCAGACTTCCTGAAAAGTGCAATAAGTGTGGCTTGCGGTGCTCTTAAAAAATTTGCGAGTGGTCAAAAATGTCAACATATGCCTCCGACATGTAACCCTAGCCTGTGATGTGAGTTTGAGACAACTTGACAACTTGTTTTTCTGAATAACGGAAAACAGATGAAAAAGTGAGTATGAGTTTTTGTGTTTGGAATCATTATTTTTGCAATTTAATTGGTTTCCATTTGGTGTAAAGTAGGGCTAGGCGATATGGCCAAAAAATGATCACGATATTTTTTTTTCCATATTAGTCGATATCGATAATTATCACGATAAATGTAAAATGTTTATTTCTTTCAAGTTTAAAGGCAGATTTTTGCTCCAATGTGAAAGTTGTGAAAACCAGATGGTTAATTGTGGTTTTAAATTGTTTTTTTTATAGTCAGAACATGACAAACACTTCGTTTTTGGATTCTTTACACTTTTCCAGTCATGTTTCCTTAAAAATAAATATCTTAATAGAAAAACAATAATTTCTTAGTTCTGCATGTTCTAGTAAAGAGTAATATTGTTTCAAATCAAGAAACAAGTTTGTGTTTGTCTCTTAGAAATACACACTTGATAGTAGCTTGAGTTTGGATGCAGATGTAGATTTATGTTCATTATCAAAATCAGTAATATCTGTAAAAAATTGTAGCAATCTCATTTTTATGGTAAAATTTAATTATTCTGACAGTTTGAGGTGTTTTTTAACCATTGGTCTTCCATAGTAGCATACATTTAAATCATGAGTTAAAACCACAAATATAGCACTTCAATACCATGGTACACATTTAATATGGCTTGTAGGTATTTATGAAAAACAGTAGTCTAAATTCATTTATAAATGCATAAACGCTATAGCTTAATCACAAAAAGTACTGTAATTATTCCATTACTCCTCCTTCAATACATTTAACAGATGTCTTCATTAATAATATTCGACAAGAATACCCACATTTCTGACACAATACCGTGGTGCAGTTAGTGCTACTTGTCAAGTCAAGTCAAGTCACCTTTATTTATATAGCGCTTTTAACAATACAGATTCTGTCAAAGCAACTGTACAGCATTAATCAGGAAAAGTGTGTCATTAATGCAAAAGGACAATAGTAAACACTCAATTTTCAGTTAAAGGCAGTTCATCATTGAATTCAGTGATGTCATCA